TAAGCCAGCAGGAGCCCCGCCCCAAGCACCAGAGGAAATGTCACCACACAGGTCACTGGCGTATCTTTCCCTTATGGGTGGGAAGTGGCACTGTCAGTTCACAAGAAATATGGGAGTATCTATAACAGTCCCCAAGCAGTACCACTTCTCAAGCAAGATGTGCCTCCTTAGTTTGGGGGAAGAGAGCCTTTAGGGCATCTGCTACTTTCAGAGGGTCCTGTCTGTACAAGCTCCTTACAAGGACTGGAGTCGTTGTTGAAGAGAAGAGGGGTACTGGCCTCCAGGCTGTAGAAGTGTGTCAGCTGTCCCAGAATGGGAATTCAAATCCACTGACAGGCAACAAGAATGATCCTGGAAAGTATCTGCACCAGGTTTATGTACAGCTTTGGGCATGAAGATCCACCACAGAATGATGTGCATTTGAGCCAACTGATTAAAGTTGGGCTTTTCTGGTTAAATGGGGTGTCTCCCGAGGAGAGAACAAATATTTTAGGCACCTTTCCAGGAAGAGGCAAATATCTGCATGTTTGTAGCAGATTCTTTAAAAGTATTAAAGTATTTGCGTTGGCTCATACATCTTTCCCGTGACATCTTAATTATTGTGCACACTGGGAAAATTCTCTGCAGAGAAGCAATCATGAAAAGGGGGTCTAACAAATCTACGTCATGCTGCCATAAAAAGTTCCTAGAGAAAACCTAACAAGAAGTGAGATTAATTCATTTCGAATGAAGTCTAAACATGAACACAATATAAAGACAAAGAAAGACTCATTACAGAATCCCTTGAGTAATTTCTCTCAAGAACTGGAAATACCCTTTGACAATGGACCAGCAATGAAGGAAACTACATCTGGAAAGACTGTCATTTTGGCAAGGAGGAAAGTGATCTGATTAGTCTATCTGAGTATCGCTGCCAGAAATGTCATGACATCAGTGTGCTATAACTTGTAAAACATGTTGCTTCCCACCATTCTTCAGCTGAAAGGGGGAGGGAAAGAGGGAAAGAGGGCTGACATTTCTTCTTTCCAGACCCCATTGCTGCAAACACATATGCAGGCAATAAATACTCACCTGTACAGCAATGAGAGAGCTGAAGACTGAACAATGGATAACCTCAGGTAACCCCAAAACATCAAGCAGCACAGACGGGTCAATGCTGACTAGGTACCCAACCTGTTTTTATTTTAAAGTCTTCAGGCTCCTTAGACAAAGGATGCAAGAAGCCATGTTGTCCACAGACATATTCCAAAGCAACAGGCACATAACAGCATTTATCCGAACCAACCAAGACTTTGTTAAACCAAGTGTATCAAGGACAGTATACGGCCTATGAAGTTCTCTAGAACTCTTCACCAGGTGGGATGTTCAGCACAAAAGAGATGGGGATAAGAAAATAAGTTGTTTTAAGACACAGTCAAGAACACTAAAGCCACACAGCTGTCATCTTAAAATAGAAAACAGGAATCATAGTGTCACATGAGATGCTTCTGTTCATGGCACACACTGTCCACAGTATTGAAATTTGAAATAACTAGTCACATGTTTTACTACAAATTTCAGGTCTGGTGAAGATTTTTTCAAGAGCACATTGACAAGTAAGTGACGTGCTTATTTCAGATGATCTGTCACACGGTCAACAGGACACTTTTGAAGTTATTGTTTAGTGATTAAAGGATTATGGCAACTTTGGTCAAACAAGAACTAGGGCATTCTTGTGCCACTTGAATTATATATGTCTATCAATAAATAATTTTTGAGACCCGTGGAGATACAGTGGGTTCCTGGACGTGTGTGGGTGGTCCTGCCTTCTGCCAGGAAGATGTCTAAAATGGACTTTGGATCCCTTCCAATTCAGAGACTCAACTTTTTGGCTCAAAGTTAGGGCATGACTTGCCCTTTCTGATTTAACATGTGAGACTGCTGATACAGATCAACATGTGTCTGCTACATAAGCTAAATCCTCCTCAAAAGTGGCCATCTCCAGTGATTCCATTAGAGATATGGTGATGCAACATTCCATTAAAGGGCTTCTGTTTCCCCTAAGGCAGCACTATTTTGACTCCAGTGTGCTGAAGGAACACCACACTTAAGTAGTTTAAGATAGCAGGAGGAGATAGACCAAACACAGTATAATGCAGTGAGAGGTTAACACGGAACCAAAGGATTGTTGTGGAACAGTGGCAGCTTCCTGAGCAAGGCCAAAAACCAGGTAGCCTCACCTCTCAACCCAACATTTTTACAATGTCTCTAGACCAGACCTTTTCTTTTTTCTCAACTTTTTAAACAATTCTGGATAGTTTTTCATAAGAGTCTTTAGTGATATAGCTACAATTATACAGTTGACTGTGTTTTAGTTATCTAGAAAGACTTCCCCAAATGCTGCCCTTTAAACAGGGTTACTTTTATAGCAGCAGCTCTTTTATTTCTATGTGAAACTCCTTCATGATTTTTAAATCTAGGCTGAGTTTTTCTAGCCACAATTCACTATTATGTGTCAAATTATTTCTGTTCCACTGAGGCAGGCTATGGTTTATTTTTTTTAAAATGCTAAATAGAAAGAGGGTTTTTAAAAAATGTAATTACCTTTGCAGTTATATTACAGGATATTAGGGAAATCCAGACTCCCCTGTTGCTTTCAGCCACATCTGACTCCAATCTTAATAGCTCAGCTATTAACCCTGTAAAGGTTCCCCCCTCCCACAGCTGATGTTAAAGTTTGTCAGGTAACCAAGGCTGACTTGCTACAATAACCTTTAAAACAGAAGAGGAACATCAGCTACACAAATCCCAAATTCTGAAAGCAGAGGTGTGGTGTAATCCTATGTATGCTTAATGTTGAAGTAACTCCTACTTAGTTTAACAGGGCTTACTCCCAAATAAGAGTGTACAGGATTATAGACTAAGGCCCCCAAGATCTCAATAGGACTAGCTACCAGGATAAACAAACTGCAGGGTTTTTTAGTTTCTATCTGCTTTTGCTTGCCAAACAAATATTTGTTGATCTTTTACTGCTGTGATTCACTTAATATTAGGCACATACAAACTCGGCACTATCCCTTTAGTGGTATGTTGGACACAACCACTAGAAAAAGGAGGTGTACGATAAATGTAGTCTTTGCTTCCTGAGCAAAGTTTCAGTAGAGCCAAAGAAAAGGGAGATTGTTCTTGAGTGGTGGTGGGGGAAACATCATTAGAGGCTCCATATTGCTACAGCAAAAAAAAAAAAGTATTTTTTTGGGGGGGAGGAATAGACAGATACCAAAAGGTCAACCTCCCTACTTCATGTCAAACCATGAAAGATACATTGAGGAGTAATGACACCCATTATTTCTGACACCTTTTTATTTTAATAAGGAGAGAATATCCACCATTAACCTTTAAATCCTCTGCATAAACATTGGCTTGGGGTACTTGTAAAAATCTTCCCTACTGTGTTCCAAGCCCTCCACAGTTGATAGCATTTAGAAGCACTAAAGCTAGCAATTTTTTTTAAAGCTTTATTTTGTTTTCCTGAGCCCCCAGCTGTGGAACAGTGACAGATGCCTGACCAAGGCCAAACCCGAGCATCCAGCCTCTGCTGAGCTCATGCTGAAGAGACACAGAAAGGAACCCAAGAAGACAGCCAAGATAAATGGTTGCAGTTTAAGTTGTAGGTCCCCACAGAGGACAGGAGCATTGTTTGAAAGGGAAGGGGAACTGAGCAAATGCCACCTCGTTTTTCTCTCTCTCAGCAGAAGACAAATCTACTCCTTAAAAAGTTGAATTTAAGCCATGTTTTAAATATATCTTTGTAAAGATGTGCAACCCCCCCCTTCAAGAATCTAGACACAGACATATTGTTAGGACAGCCAAACAAAACAGCTTGCTCCCATGGGATTGCAGTACACGCCAACTAATAGAACAGGGGCTGAAACACTGACACTTAGCTGAGGATAATGGAGAAAGCCAAGCCTTTGGGAGGGGGGGAGGCCAGTTGTCACCCCACTGACAGACAACAGCTGAGCTCACACATCTGGAGCCCGATTCAAGCAGACACACTGAAACTCACACCCATCTATAGTCATAGCCTGCTCGAATGACAGATGGGGCTTCCCTTGCCCGGGGAGTAAAAATAAACAAATAGCTCTTCTGTAGCAACGGCCTCCCTTTAAAAAAAAGAAGAAGGGGGGGGGGGAGCGCATGGCATCCTTTGATTACAGAGCAACAGTTTACCAGCAACACGAGATAAATGTAGCTTTTTCTCCCGTGCGGGCCAAGAGTTTTTAATTACACCTACGTCCCGATCTCGCTATAATAAATAGCTTCCTCTGCCCCTAATACTACGTTCCGTTTCTACGGACTGTGTGCATCGCCCCGCCGCATGCAGCGTCTGGCGCAAAGCACCACCGAGAAAGCAGCCAGTTCAGTATCCGTCTGAAGCGAACCCTCCTCTCGGCTGTGCTCCTGAAGGGGCTGTTCAACGGCAAGCCTTCCCCGGAGTTCTCTCTCGACCACACTCCCCTCCCCGAATCAACCCGCACCGGGCACTGAAGAAGAGAGACGATCCTGGTCTTTTCCTCCCACTTCTTTCGGAGTGGCGCTTTGGAGGAGCCGTTTTGCCCTGAACTCTGGCCACGGCCAAGGTCAGCGATGCGGAGGATCCTGAGGACCGCCTCAACGACCACACACACGTTCCCGGGACGCGGCGCCTCGTTGAACCCAAAAGAAACCACCCTCCTTCCACCTTGTTCAGTTTCAACAACAGAGACCAGAACTCAAGGGGAGCCCTACGGAGGGATGCTCCAAAGTCTCATCGGTCCCTCTCTGAAGACGTCTGGGGGGCTCGATTTGGCCACCCTGCCCCGTTCTCTCTTTTGCCAAGTGACAGAAGACGATGTCGCCGGGGGCGGCTGACATCTTGCGCCTCTTCCCCTCCCAGAGGCCCGATTTCGCCTCCCACCAAGCCCAGAACCACCGCCGGCGCCCCCCTCTCCCCACGCACGGACCCTCTGGTGACTTACCCTCCGAGAGCAGGACTCCAGCAACGCCGCAGCCAGGTATTCCTACCAGAGACGACGGGGCGACATCGAGGGGCAAAGAGGAACCTGCGGCGCTCCCCGGCCTGAAGAAGTCAGCGCAAGTCGGAGCCACGCATGTTCCACACAGGACCGCAGGAGGAAGGCGGGAGCCTTTCCGTGCAAAGAGTCCGGCCGCCGAAGACAACCGCGCAGCTCCACGCTCTTTGCTTAATGGAACGCAGCCGCTCGATGCCGCTACAAGGAGCCCAGCGTTCCCCGCAGCCCATTGGCTGCGGCCAGCTGCACAAGCCAATCGCCGAAGGGCCTTGTCTCGCCGGCAGCTTGCAAAACCCGGGGAGCTGGATCGCTAAAGAAGAGGGCTGCTTGACAACGTTACTAGTTGAGAGTGAATGGGAACGATTTGGGGGGAGCAGCTTACAGAGTAAGGCAAAGCAGGAAGGAAAGGGGAAGGGGGCAAGGAGAAGGGGTGAGTTAGGAGGAGCGTGCTTTTTAGGGGCTGGTCTTGGGTGTCGCTAGATTGGATGGATGATTAGCTGAGCAAAAGCATTTCTAGCTATTTGAAGTTCTACCAGGCATAGCAAGAGTTTGAGAAGCTGAACAGATTAGGTTGATGGATTGGACTCCGGGAAATGGGAGGAAAGATTTACATTCCCAATTTCCCCCTATGAAATTGACAATTACTTTATCCGTGGCCTCCGGCTTTCTGTTAAGAGGGGCAGTTTTCTTCCCTGAAGATAGATATAGGTGGGTAGCCGTGTTGGTCTGAAGCAGCAGAACAAAGTTTGAGTCTAGTGGCACCTTTTAAGACCAACAAAGTTTTATTCAAGGTATAAACTTTTGTGTGCGTGTGCACTTCTTCAGATACATTGAAACAGAAGTTACCAGTTCATACAGTAAATTATCATTAAATTAGCGTACAACATAATAAAGATTCAAGGACCAAACAGAAATAGCAAGCTTAGTTTATCTGATTACCATTTATTTGGTGTCCCCAGACCAGAGAAATAAATACATTCCAATCTACCATTCCAAATTACATTACATTCTACTACTATTCATTACATTGCAATCCGTATTTGTTTATGCGTGCTCAGGTGTGTTTTAGGTTGGGCTGAGCCCTCACAGAGAGATTTGGAGCCACCAATATGTAAGGAGTAATTTAAGGTGGGGGGGTTGTTTGTTTGTTTTAGCTCTTGTCAGTATTTTTTATCCCATGGAGATACTTGTGAAGTAGAAAGTCCTAAAGTTCTCTGTGTGTGCACACTCATGCAAGCAATCCATTCCTGCACTCAGGTCCTATGTGATGCCGTGCAAATAAATAAGTGCTTGAAATCAATGGAATTTCATTCTTTGGCACTACTTCCTTAAATAGTCCTATGAAAAGACAATAAATGTTTGTGAACAAACTGCTGTTTGTATTTTCCAAAAAGCACCCTGTTTTCTAGACTTTAGATGGCCAGCATTTGAGAAGTTTGCAAATATCAAGTGACAGGTTGCTTTTCATGCTTAATAAGTTTACCAGGCATAATTTGTGTTCCTGCAAAAAAATAAGAATACATTTGCCACTAATAAAGTGTTGTACTTGAAAATCAATAAACACATTATTAATTATTAAAACATTATTAATATCATCATCATCATTATTCTTATTTAAACATTTGATTTCTAGACTGCCCTCCCCAAATAGGGCTCAGGGTGGTTCACAACATTCAATTAATACACTCTATCAATTTCAAACCTGGAGCTGACTGTGGTTCAGATCATGAGCTACTCATTGCAAAATTCAGACTTAAACTGAAGAAAATCGGGAAAACCACGAGGCCATTCAGGTTTAACATAGATCGCATCCCTGATGAATATACAGTAGAGGTGAAGAATAGATTCAAGGGTCTGGATTTGATAGATAGAGTGCCTGAAGAACTATGGACAGAGGTTCGTGACATCGTACAGGAGGCAGCAATCACCACCATCCCAAAGAAAAAGAAATGCAAGAAAGCAAAGTGGCTTTCTGATGAGGCTTTACAAATAGCAGAGGAAAGAAGGAAAGCGAAAGGCAAAGGCGAAAAGGAAAGATTTACCCAACTGAATGCAGATTTCCAGAGAACAGCAAGGAGAGATAAGGAGGCCTTCCTGAATGAACAGTGCAAAGTAATAGAAGAAAACAATAGAATGGGAAGGACTAGAGATCTCTTCAAGAAAATTGGAGAAATCAAGGGAGCGTTCCATGCAAAGCTGGCCATGATAAAGGACAAAAACGGTAGGGACCTAACAGAAGCAGAAGAGATTAGGAAAAGATGGCAAGAATACACAGAAGAACTATACAAGAAAGACCTCAATGTCCTTGACAAACACGACGGTATAATCACTGACCTTGAGCCAGACATCCTGGAATGTGAAGTTAAATGGGCCTTAGAAAGCATTACTAACAACAAAGCTAGTGGAGGTGATGGTATTCCAGCTGAACTATTCAAAGTCTTAGAAGATGATGCTGTTAAAGTGCTGCACGAAATTTGCCAGCAAATTTGGAAAACGCAACAGTGGCCACAGGATTGGAAAAGGTCAGTATACATTCCAATCCCAAAGAAGGGCAATGCCAAGGAATGTTCAAACTATCGCACAATTGCACTCATATCACACGCTAGCAAGGTCATGCTCAAGATCCTACAAGCTAGGCTTCAACAGTACGTGGATAGAGAACTACCAGAAGTACAAGCTGGGTTTCGAAGAGGTAGAGGAACGAGAGATCATATTGCCAACATTCGCTGGATTATGGAGAAAGCAAGAGAGTACCAGAAAAATATCTACTTCTGCTTCATTGACTATGCTAAAGCCTTTGACTGTGTGGATCACAACAAACTATGGCAGGTCCTTAAAGAGATGGGAGTACCAGACCACCTCACATGTCTCTTGAGAAACCTGTATAAGGGCCAAGAAGCGACAGTTAGAACCGGATACGGAACAACTGATTGGTTCAGCATAGGAAAAGGAGTACGACAAGGATGTATACTGTCACCTTGCTTATTTAATATATATGCAGAGTACATCATGCGAAATGCTGGCCTGGATGAATCACAAGCGGGAATTAAGATTGCTGGGGAAAAGATCAACAACCTCAGATATGCAGATGATACCACTCTAATGGCTGAAAGTGAAAAGGATCTAAAGAGCCTCTTGCTCAGAGTAAAAGAGGAGAGCGCAAAAGTGGGCTTGAAGCTCAACATCAAAAAAACTAAGATCATGGCATCCGGCCCCATCACTCCTTGGCAAATAGAAGGGGAAGTCGTGGAAGTAGTGACAGACTTCACGTTCCTGGGATCCCAAATCACCGCAGACTGTGACTGCAGCCATGAAATTAAAACACGCCTGCTCCTTGGGAGGAAAGCGATGGCGAACCTAAACAGCATGATAAAAAGTAGAGACATCACCCTGCCAACAAAAGTCTGCATGGTTAAAGCAATGGTATTCCCAGTAGTCATGTATGGCTGCGAGAGTTGGACTATAAGGAAGGCCGAGCGCAGAAGAATAGATTCTTTTGAACTATGGTGCTGGAGAAGACTCTTGAGAGTCCCTTGGACTGCAAAAAGATCAAATCAGTCAATCCTAAAAGAAATCAACCCTGACTGTTCCCTGGAAGGCCAGATAATGAAACTGAAGCTCAAATACTTTGGCCACCAAATGAGAAGGGAGCACTCACTGGAAAAGACCCTGATGCTGGGAAAGATTGAAGGTCAAAGAAGACGGGGACGGCAAAGGATGAGATGGTTAGACAGTGTCATCGATGCAACGAACATGAAGTTGAGCCAACTTCAGAGGACGGCGGAAGACAGGAGGGCCTCGCGGGAGATGATCCATGGGATCGCGAAGAGTCGGACTCGACTGTGCGACTGAACAACAACAACATCAATTTCAATAAATACAATAATAACAAACAAGTTAAAACCAGTTAAAAATAAGTTGAAACAAGAACATTCAAACTATACCAGATGATGTTAAAACATTTGTGTCCTAACCCTTGGAGGGGCAGAGAGATGAAGGATAAAGGAGACCAGGCTTGATGTCAGCCATTGCTGTCCTCAACCATAGGCCTGGCAGAACATCTCTGTTTTACATACCCTGCAGAACTGTTTTAGATCCTGCAGGGCATGGATATCATCAGGCAGAGAGTTCCACCAGGGCAGAGGACAGTCAGATATCTTTCAGGCCAGGGATCACTAGAAGATTCTTCCCCTCAGAGTGTGGCGCTCTTCGTGGGGTATGCCAGGAGAGGCGATCCCACAGAAGCATTGACCCCAGACCATTTAGGGCCTTACAGGTTAATACCAGAACCTTGAAACTGATCTAGTACTCAACCTGGAGCCAGGTTGGATATGAGCTGTTAGTGGGGTCCCAGTTGTAATTTCTGGTTCAGTCTCAAGGGTAATCCTGTGTACAGCGAGTTACAGTAATCTAGCCTGGAGGTGACCATTGCATGGATTACTGTGGCTAGATCAGGGCAAGACAGGTAGGGGTGCAGTTGCTTGATCTGTCATAGCTGGAAAAATGCCAGTCTCGCAACATTTTTGACCTGGGACTCCGTTGATAGGAAGGCACCCAGGAGCACACCAAGGCACTGGTATCGGTGGTACCCATCCAGTGCCAGGAGTTGGTACTCCAACCCAGAAGCTCCCCGACCCAGCCACAGAACCTCCACCTTAGGAGGATTCCGTTTCAACCAGCTCTGCTTCAACCATCCCAACATGGCCTCCAACCCTTAGGCCAAGATGGATGGGGCAGTAAATTATGAAAGCCAGAGACTCTTCAGACTCTTTCTTCTTGAGCAATCATGCAGTCATGCTGAGATTCTTCCTCACTTTGGGCCATTTTCACAATAAATTCATTTTTTTTAAATTTCTTGCTCTGTAATATAAATGCTGGAAGTTTCATCCAAAGCACCCTTCTAAGTCCACTGAAGTCAGTGGGCTTGGGATGGCACATTAAATCAGGTAGAATAATATTCAAGCTCTAAAATGCTCTTTTCTAAGACTGATTCTTATACTAACATCTTCAAGTGAACTATCCCACACTAAATGTGATGTGCTTTTCACTAACCTGAGAAAAGAGGTAAGATGTGATTTAAGAAAGAATTATGGATCTTATTTCTTTCGCAATTATATCTGCTGTAAAGAAAATGTTTACATGATCACCCGAAAC